TATTATGGAAATTTAAAATTTAATCTTCTATTGTTGTAATATTATTTTTATTTACTCATATTTAGAAAAATCTCCCAATGTTTATTTAGAATTTAATTTGGTTCTTGAGTATTAAATCCTAAAACACAAATCCAAATTTAGAAATGTGTATATGTGTATATATCAGACAAAGAGACATCACAGTGAAACAAAAATCGGGTTGCTTTGTATGAGATGACTGATTGTATTTCTATTTGTAGGGTTGGTGATCGGATTTGTCATAACTGTCTAATGTCATCTTGTATGTTTACTTGATCTTAATATAATAAGTCGTCCCTTTATTTTTTAAAAAATTACTAATTGTTATTATAAATAATTGTTATTATGTCAAAATTATAGTTTCGAACTTCCGATGATAACACTTCTTCATAAGGGTGTGTTTGCGAGATTAGAAATAGTGAAGGAATGATTTTGGAAGCTTTCTGTGACTGTGCAAAACCTCTCAAAAGCTCAATTCGTATTCCTCCGAAATGGATGATTTTGAAGGATAACTAATTAAATGATAGTTTAAGTTTAGTTTAAACTAAATAACTGTTCAACTATTTGAATTCACCGTATCTCAGAAGTGATTTTAATTATAATTCTTTCTAAGACTCTAAATTTACTACTTCCAAATAAGAAGAAAAGTTTCCTCACCTTCCCCATATTCCCCCTACAACAACTTACCTTCAAAGTTTTCTCCACCCTTTCCCCCCAAATTTCCCAACATACCATAAAGAAATTAGAATGATCTGAAACCATGTACGTACATATAGTTCATGAAGGTGCACATATATGGTTAAATTAATGTACACTTCACATTAAATTAATGCATCAAACAGCCTCGTGAAATATAAATTCGGCGCATTAGCCCTTTGTGATTTTAAATGTGTCAAACTCTCCTATATTATGTTTATTTATGCGTAAAACCCCTTCTATGATCAAATTTAATTGCCAAAAATGAAAAATGATTATTATTTTTGAATTATTAAGAAATTTTGAAAGAGACACCTGCATACTCATTTGTAAAATTTGTTCTTGGATGGAGTTTTGTGCATGAATAATTATAATACGGGGGGGGTGACGCACAATTTCTAATTTATGGTAGTGCACAATTATGCTTAACGACAAATTCCCAAATCTAATCGTCCAAATTGGTTATCATTTGTCTCCCTAAATTGCATTCCCATTTGACCAAATTCAACTTATTGTAATCTTGTTATTTGTTAACATGAACACATTTAGTGCTATTAATAATTAATCATAATAAAATATAATCAATGATTTGATCCATTTGGGTAATGAACTTATCTATAATGTAATCGATCTATGAGGTTTTTTGAATCGGTTTTTAAGGCTATGTTTGGTACAATTAGCTGAAAAGATCTTTTTGTGAGCTTTTTAGTAACTGTTAGCTTTTAATGACTGAAAAGATCTTAAAAGTAAAAGGTGGTAGCTGTTTGGTAAAAAGCTGACTGTTTGATTTAGTTCTGTTTGGCATACAAGCTGTTAGGATTTATTAAAGCTAAAAGTTACAGACTTTTCTCAGATGCTACTACCTGTAGCATCTCAAAAAAGAGCTTTTATTTTTTGAAAAGCTCTTAAAAATTGGCGTGTCAAACAAACAACTAACAACTTTTAGAGACTTTTTAAATAGTACAAAAGCCAAAAGCTATAGACTTATGTCAACCAAACATAGCCTAAGTCTTAAATCGGTTTTAGATATATCATGTCAGATTTAAATAATTGTAAAATATACATAAAACAAACATCTATCAGATCATATTTGAACAGAATTTATTTAAACAAATTCAAATTAGATCAGAAATTCCAAACCAATTTGATCAGTAGATCACTTAGAGCATCTTTAGAGCATGAGATGACAATGTCTCACTAGATCACTTAGAGCATCTTTAATGACAAAATGAATTGTACCTCATAAAAATGAACATGTCATCAAGGTAGACATTTTATGAAGCCAATGTGTACTGATAGACATTTAAAATAATAATTATGCTCCGGTGCAACCATGAGTTTAAAGAATATATTTACTAGTTGTATGCCACGCCACACAACTAAAAACCTGTGTGGGCTATTATTTCCAACTGTCGAAGGTTTATCTCGAAGGCATTTCTTGAAAACAAGGATCAATGATATTGACTTCTACTAGACGCAATACATGTGCAATGCACGGGTACATCTAGAGAAGAATAATAACTTGTTTCAACTAATTTTGATTATGATAGTATACAATATGCAATATGCAATTTTCTCGAAGGCATATCTTGAAAACACAAAAGGATCAATGATTTTATTTTCTATTTCGAAGCCACCACTCGCGGGTTAGTTAGCTCTAAAAACTCACAACTTCTTGCATAGTTGCATATCTATATTTCCTGGGAGTAGCGGTGATTGGAATTAGCACAGACGACTAGCGACAATTCAAGAGTCTATTTCATAGAATAATCTTCCTATCCGGCCAGGCCGGCCAGGAGTGTCGTTGGGCCACCTCGTTTTGAGGTGGTTCTCGGTGGTATTTTTTGCTGAAATTTGTATGTATATTTTCAATGAAGTGTATATTATGTTCACAAAATTTCATATTAAAATTTAACCGGAAAGTCAATTAAATGATTTTTTGAAGATAATTACGCAAAATTATACTCCGTACTTTTTTTTTGAACAATGCCAAAATATATACTTCGTATAAAACATGGTTATTTAGACTTGTTTAAAGTGTAACCCATGTCTTAAAATAAATGGGCTCCTTTTTAAAAAAAATGGGCTGTATCGTTTTTTTTTGGATGTGGCTGAATCGCTTTAAAGATTGGATCAATTATAAATAAGTAAAAATATTAAAATAATACTCCGTATAAAAGATGTGGAAATCCATTATTTTTCTATGTAAAAGATTTTCTACGGTAGGATTGAGTCCGATTTAGATCATTTGGGGTTAGATATTAGATAATACCTTCATAGTTTATATGGTTATTGTACTCTCAATAATATATTTTTCTGAATCATCCACTTATCCTCGTGTGTTTGTTTTGGAAAAAATCTTTGGGAATTTGACTTTGCACTTCACTTTTTGATTGATATTGAACTTTGCATCCCATTATGAAAAAACTTTGATTTTGCATCACATTTAACTTAAAATTCATTTGACTTTGCACCTCATTTAGAAATTTTTCTTCACAAAATAGTACTCCCTCCGTCCCTAAATGTTGTTCCAATTGCGGATTACGAAGGTTGACCGACGATAAAGTTAAATGATCCCTATGAAAACTCGGATTATTTTTAGTAAATAAAATTTACATATTCAGAAACTACATTAAACCCGCTACAAAGCCTGCAAAAAATAATTCCACTTTTATAAAATTTTGATATAAAAAGTAAGAGTTTAAGAGTGATTTAAGTTGACCCTCGATAAGCGAAATGGAAATTCTTTTAGGGACAGAGGGAGTATGTATTGGGGTGAAAAGTCAAAGTTCTTTGAAAATGGGGTGCAAAGTCCAATATCACCTAAAAAGTGGGGTGCAAAGTCCAATATCACCTAAAAAGTGGGGTGCAAAGTCAAATTCCCTCAAAATCTTTTCCACAATCTGAAATATACAAATGTGTTCCCGATTTGGATACAGAAATTCAAATTCAATAGAAATACATGAGAAAAGGGTCAAATAGACTGTAAATCACTGTATTATACTATTTTCAATTCATATCATTGTACTAAAAAAAGTATTATGCAAGTAAGCTTGCTTTAAAAATAAAACCACTTGAGCTATTTAGAAAGTTAGTTCTGCTACACAAATTATTTTTAAAAAATAAATAAGAGCAAATGATAAATTTAATAAAAATTCTCATAAATTTAAAAAGTAATGTTATAATAATATAAAAATAGAATAAATGAAACAATAGATTAATAATTTTAAAAATTCAAAAAGAAAGAAAATGTAAAAAAAAACCGCAAAACCCTTTGTATATAGATGTAAAATATAAAAATAAATAAGAAATGCAAAAATATTGACTTTGACATTCTTAAAATTTTCACTATTTAATTTATTTGAATTTTAACATTTTTAGAGTTTTTAAATATAAAAATCTCTTATTATAGGTCATAAATTGATCAAATAGTCATATTGTTCAACTTTTTAAAGTGCGCTTATTTTTTTTTATAATGCCAATATACTTGATCGAGATGAGACTTGAACATGCGACCTCTTTCTCTATGAAAGATCACTAGATCACAAATAATATCATTAGATCACGAGGTGTTTGGCGAAAGGAACATTTTTTTAATGTTTGACCAAGGCATGGTGAATTAAAGGTGTTTCCACTTTCCACCAAAATTGAGACTAGTGTCGAGTGTTGAGTTGTTGACTATTTGCTAAATTAAGTCTTGGCGGACCAACTATTACAGTTTCTCGTTTCTTTGTTTGAATCACACCGAAAGTCAAAAACTATAATGAATAAAGTGCTCTACATTAAAGTAAAAAATATAAGGTTGTTTTATGACAATAAAATCATCTATATTATACATTTATACTGATGAATTAGGAGTGAGTTCAATTCAAACGTTTCTCTTTTATCCAAAACCAAATGTCAAACCAATGTAGAAAGTTTGGTTCGCTTAATACTCATGAACGGTTCATTTTCATATTGTTAATTTGCTTTAATAAATTTGCATTTTGTTTATACTGTAATTCTGATATAATTTTTACATAAATTTGAATCATAACAACTACATATTCAGATAATGTACGCTAGGTCGCTAGCTAATTGAGAAGAACTTGCGAACCCGCCTTAGCCTTATATAGTTATATGGGTCAAGTTATGGAGTAAAATCTAATGAACAGTCAGGCAAGAAAAGTCCATGTAATACAGAAATTTTGCAGGTCATAGTTTTGCACTACCCAATCCATGCGGACTCATTGTCGTTCCTACTTTTTGGGTACGAAATTAAAGAAAGTAAAAATAAATTTTCTCAACCGTCCTTGTGTAAATTCCTTTAGAAGATGTTATATCACCATTCACCACTACATATAGACTGAACACGAAGACCAAAATGACTTGGCTATTTCATTAATTCATTTACAGTAATATCTACCCATTGCAAATTTACAAGATTACCATGTATATAAAACCAGAATACAATAAGAAGAAAAGAACGGCTTTTGGTGACCCGTGATTTTGGCTCATCAGCTCGCCCTTCAACCAAATACCAAATCATTTGACTTGCATAGGATAAATAGGCTAAAACTAAGATAAACGTAGCTAAGATAAATGACATTTCTTTCCACATCTTTTAAATATTAGTCATTCTATAATCAACTCATTGAACCAGTTAACTCCCATTTGCTCTCATAAAAAAAAAAGGATGACACCCCATCCCTGAGGGCCCCCCAACACCGACTGGACGGCACGATGGGAGGATGTAAATTGGACTATAATCACAATCTGACAGATAGAGAGTGGGGCTCTGTCCCCGGTACTTGCAGGAACCCTATGCATTTTTTAGCATAGTAACCCCTCATCGCAGTTGCCGGGATTCGAACCCGAGACCTAACCCTTGTGGCACTCCCTCACTACCAGTTAACTCCCATTTGCTCTCATGAAACGGGCACGAAGCACATGCATATGACTAGGTTGGTATTCGGGCCAGTATTTGGTTCCTTACTATCCCCATGCGGTTCTCTATTTCAGCAAAGAGTGGAAGATTGTGAGAAGAGGTAGGCTGCAAGCTTGAAACAGCCGAATCCAGTATTTTTGCCACATCAGCCGGGGGAAACTGTCGTTCTATACACTTCTGCAGAATTATCATTATTATAATAAAGAAACACCAAGTTATGAATATGACAACATCATTAAAGATTACAAAACCTTTAAAAACAAAAATATCCCCTGTCTTGTTTGAATCAAAACTACACAACCAGAGATTTTTTGTTTGGGAAAATGGAAACTAATAACCCAACCTTTTAGCGGTCCACTTTTAATAATCCGACCTTTTCGTTATTCATAAATAATCCAACCTTTGCACCTCATCTTCATTCATTGGTCCCTGACCGGTTGATGAACTGCTATTCCGAGTTATTTTCTTATCTCTGCAAACTATTAAACCATAAATTCCACTTTTCACAAAGATAATATTTTGCAAAGATAAGAAAATAACTTGGAATATCATGTCATCAACCGGTCAGGGACCAGTGAATGAAGATGAGGTGCAAAGGTTAGATTATTCATGAATAACGAAAAGGTGGGACTATTAAAAGAAGACCGCTAAAAGGTTGGATTATTAGTTTCCATTTTCCCTTTTTGTTTACCTGAATCATAAGGAGTGTAGCAACACATTTGGTAATAAGTTCTGCGGGGATGTCTGCCTCATTTCCATGCTTCACATTGTTCTTCAATTTATTAGAATCAGTGATCTACAGAATTTGACAGAATAGAATTCATCAATCGACGTGGACTACATACAGAGTGCTTTTTGTAATATTACGCATTAGCTTCCATTTGGACTTCCCTCCCTCAAGAAATTATCCTGGCTCCGCCAGAGAGCAGAAATGTCCATTCAACATTATTTGGATGGGGGTAATTTTAGAGAGGGCTTTGACTAATGAAAACGAGAAAAGATACTCTCTCCGTCCCACTAACAATGGTACAAGAGGGGGTGATACACATGTTAAGAAAAGTGAGTTTGTGTGGTTGATATCGAACGAATAAAGTAATACGGGAGTACTACGTAATAAAGTAAGAATGATTATAACCACACAAATTTTACTAAATTTGGTACGGGACAATCTTAGCGGGACAGACCGAAAAGGAAAAATAGGACAATCTTAGCGGCATGGAGGGAGTAATTGATTATAAAATCATTATAAAATATGTATATCAAAATATGCATATCAAGATATAGACTAAGCTTTCCAAAGACTCCTCTCACCCACCCAGCCACCCCACCCCAAAATCCTCCTTATAAACCGAGCTTAGGTAAACCAAAAGTGGTGTACTTACGGTAAGCGAGCCTAATTCATCCGTTGAAATTCGGTCATTTAGATAATCAATAGCATATTCAACATCCCCAGTACTGTTCTCCACCCCGTTAAGTGATTAAGTAAGAAACTCCTGTGAGTAATAATAATAATGTAGTATCGCAGAATTTTAAAATAATATGTATAGCAGAATTAATAATATTAATAATAATAATAGTAATAGTAGTAATAATAATAATAATAATACTTCATCCGTATTGTTTTGTTTGCTACAATAGGGTTGGGCACAACATTTAAGGGTGAAATAGTAGGGGTAATGAATAGTGTATAAAAAGTAGGAGAGAAGGTGGAAAAGTATGAAAGAGAAGATAAAAAGTAGGAAAAGTAAGGGTAATTGAGTATCTTTTAAAGGAAAAACTTACCAAAAAGGGAAAGTGTAGCAACTTTTAAATACATCCAAAAAAGAAAAGTGTAGCAAACTTAAAAATACGGATGGAGTAATAATACTAATAGTGGTAGTGGTAGTGGAAGTGGAAGTGGAAGTGGTAGTGGTAGTAATTAATAATTAATAATAATAATAATAATAATAATAATAATAATAATAATAATAATAATAATAATAATAAGAATAAGAATAAGAATAAGAATAAGAATAAGAATAAGAATAAGAATAAGAATAAGAATAAGAATAAGAATAAGAATAAGAATAAGAATAAGAATAACAATAACAATAACAATAACAATAACAATAACAATAACAATAACAATAACAATAACAATAACAATAACAATAACAATAACAATAACAATAACAATAACAATAACAATAACAATAACAATAACAATAACAATAACAATAACAATAACAATAACAATAACAATAACAATAACAATAACAATAACAATAACAATAACAATAACAATAACAATAACAATAACAATAACAATAACAATAACAATAACAATAATTGACTCAGGTGTCTCAGATCATATTTCTGGTAATCCCCATCTTTTATCCCATATTACCAAGCAACGACATCTTCCTTTGATTACTCTTGCTAATGGCCTTCAAACTTCGGCTTCGGGTATTGGGCAAGCACTTCTATTTTCATCCTTACCATTAGACTCAGTCTTATATGTCCCTAACACCCCTTTTAACCTTGTCTCTGTCAGTAAAATTACACGTTCTCTTAATTGTTACGTAACATTTTCTGCTGATTCTGTGATTGTGCAGAACCGTTGTACGGGGAAAACGATTGGCGTCGGACATGAATCTCAAGGTCTGTATCACCTCCATCCTCTTGATCCAATCGCTTGTGTTTCAGTTGAACCTGCTATTACCTTACACAACCGTCTGGGTCATCCTAGTCTCTCAAAGTTTCAACGTATGGTTCCAGGTTTCTCAAATCTTTCATCTTTAGATTGTGAGTCATGTCACCTTGGAAAACAACCTCGTAAATCCTTTCCAAGGCGAGTCAATAAACGGGCTACATCACCGTTTGATTTAGTTCATACAGATGTATAGGGTCCGTATCGAGTCACTTCTACTTTAGGTTTCCGTTATTTTGTTATTTTTGTGGATGATTTTTCCGGTTACACATGGTTGTTCTTAATGAATGAGCGTTTTGAACAGTTTCATATTTTTCAAACTTTTTGTGCTGAAATTCAAACTCAGTTTGGTCATTCTATCAAAATTTTACGCAGTGACAATGCTAAAGAATTTTTTGGGGTATCCTTTAATCAATTTATGACATCACGGGGTATGCTTCACCAATCATCTTGTGTTCACACGCCTCAACAAAATGGGGTTGCTGAACGCAAGAACCGCCACCTGGTTGATACTGCTCGTACCCTATTATTACATTCACATACACCGCCTCAGTATTGGGCAGATGTTATGCTCAGTGCGTGTCATTTAATAAATAGAATGTCTTCCTCAGTTCTTAATAATGGAATTCCCTATTCTATTTTGTTTCCTGCTCGTGATTTATTTCCATTACCACCTCATATGTTTGGGTGTGTGTGTTTTGTCCATGATACGACATCTGGATTAGCTAAAATGTCGGCTAGGTCAATAAAATGTATCTTTCTTGGATATTCGCGACTCCAAAAGGGTTATCGTTGTTATTCTCCATTACTTAAGAAATATTTTATTTCAGCCAATGTCACTTTCATTGAGTCGTCCTTTTACTATCCATATACCCCATCATGTTTGGACTTCACCTCATATCTCCGGCCAATCCATCAAGAGACTCCCACTAACCCCCCATCTGATGAGCACTCAAACTTCCCTCCTATATCAAACCGTCCATTACAGGTATACCATCAACGTCATCGACCTCCTCCCATTGAGCCCATCGTGGCCACGCCCGTTGATTCCCCTATGACGGATCCTGCATCACCACCATCACCTACTCCAGCACTTGAAACCACTTAGGATGATTTGCCCATTGCCCTCCGAAAAGGTACGCGTTCCACATTAAATCCACATCCCATATATAACTTTTTGAGTTATCACCGTCTCTCTACTCCTTACTATGCTTTCATTTCCCACCTGTCTCATATATGCATTCCTAAAACTACACATGAGGCATTGGCACACCCGGAGTGGCATAAAACCATGTTGGCTGAGATGGAGGCACTTCATTCTAGTGGGACGTGGGACTTAGTCCCCCTTCCCACTGGAAAATCAGTGGTGGGATGACGGTGGATTTACACAATTAAAGTTAGGCCTGGTGGGGAGATTGATCGTTTTAAAGCACGCCTTGTGGCAAAAGGGTATACTCAAATATATGGTTTGGATTACACTGACACTTTTTCTCCTATAGTGAAGATTGCATCAGTTCGTTTGGTTTTATCCATGACAGCAATGAGCCGCTGGCCATTGTTCCAATTGGATATTAAAAATGCATTCCTTCACGGAGTTCTGCACGAGGAAGTTTATATGGAGCAACCACCTGGATTTGTTGCTCAGGGGGAGTCTGGTATGGTGTGCAGATTACGTCGTTCATTATATGGCTTGAAGCAATCTCCACGTGCATGGTTTGGGAGGTTTAGTGACGTTGTCTGCAGCTTTGGCATGATTCGCAGCGATGTCGATCATTCTATATTCAACAGACATTCTGCTGGCAACAAATGTATTTATCTTGTTGTGTATGTTGATGACATTGTCATTACAGGTAGCGATGATCAAGGAATTGTGCTCCTCAAGCAACATCTCTTTAGCAAATTTCAAACATAAGACTTGGGAAAGTTGAGATACTTCCTTGGAATTAAGGTCGCACAGTCTCAAGATGGAATTGCTCTCTCACAAAGAAAGTATGCCTTGGATATTCTTGAGGAAACAGGTTTGCTAGATTGCAGGCCAGTGGATACACCAATGGATCCGAACGTTAAACTCTTATCAGAACAGGGAGATCTTTTGCCCAACAAGGAAAAATATAGAAAACTCATCGGCAAATTGAATTATCTTACCATCGCAAGACTAGATATTTCATTTGCGGTAAGTGTTCTTAGTCAGTTTCTTGATAAGCCATGTACTGGACACTGGGATGCAGCAATCCGAGTTTTGAGATACATCAAGAAAACTCCAGGGCAAGGATTGTTGTTTTGAAGATCGAGGCCACCATGATATTGTGGGATATTGTGATGCAGACTGGGCCGGATGTCCGATGGATAGACGTTCCACTTCGGGATATTGCATCTTGATTGGTGGAAACTTAATTTCATGGAAAAGTAAGAAACAAGATGTGGTTGCCAGATCTAGTGCTGAAGCAGAATATCGTGCAATGGCTTTTGCTACATGTGATTTTTTATGGTTGAAGCATCTTCTCCAAGAGTTAAAATGTGGGAACACAAAACCGGTTCAACTCATGTGTGATAATCAAGCTGCAATGCACATCGCATCAAATCCGGTATATCATGAGAGGACAAAACATATTGAAGTTGATTGTCATTTCATCCGAGAGAAGATCACGAGTGGACATATCATCACAAAATATGTGAACACAACTGAACAACTTGCAGATATTTTAACCAAGTCTCTTAGAGGTCCTAGAGTGGAATATATTTGTAACAAGTTTGATACATATGATTTATATGCTCCAGCTTGAGGGGGAGTGTGGAAACCCTAGTAGTATTGGGCTTAGCCCATTTGTATAGGAAACCCTGGTACTCTAAATATAGCTTCTTGTATAGTATTTTGATCATCAAGTATATGAAATAAAACAATACTTGATGATGATGATGATGATGATGACGATGATGATGACGATGACGACGACGACGACGACGACGACGACGACGACGACGAGGACGAGGACGAGGACGAGGACGAGGACGAGGACGAGGACGAGGACGAGGACGAGGACGAGGACGAGGACGAGGACGAGGACGAGGACGAGGACGAGGACGAGGACGAGGACGACGGCGGCGGGGACGACGGCGGCGGGGGACGACGGCGGCGGCGGCGGCGGCGACGACGACGACGACGACGACGACGACGACGACGACGACGACGATAATAATAATAATAATAATAATAATAATAATAATAATAAGGGAACTTATCATTGACCCCCCCGAGGTTTGATGCATTATCAATCACACCCATATACTATCAAAAATATACTCTTCCCCCCCCCCCCTCTATATCCTTTAATGATGGTTAAATAACTCTTAATCTACATTTAGAGAAAATTATGGATATAATTTCATAATTTTTCTTTGAGTCTGCTTTTAATATTGTAATTCTATTCAACCACAAATCCGGTCGGGTAATTAATAAATTTGTCTATATTAAAGACCTTTCTATTGGATGTTGAACCAAATAAAAAAAATGACCAAAACTGACCTCACTCTAGGTAGTTCGTTTTATGCATTTCAATTTGTAAAGTGAGTAAATTTACTCAATTGAAAATGATCAAAATATGCTAAATTTGACAAAAATTGAAACAAATGAACTTAAATGAACCAAACCGACTCAAAAGTGAAGTTTACTACTCAATTTAACCATTAAAAATTGAATGCAAGAAAATTCCCAATTTAGACACTCTTTGTTATCACTGAAAATGAGATCACTATAGGTATAATAATAACAACTTGTAGATTTAAATATTTGACAAAATATGAACATGTTTACATGTAAATTAAAATATTAGTACAGACATTATAGTTTAGGACGGGTTCCACACCCAAACTGGTTAGTGCTAAATAATTGGTCTAGGTTCGCTCCCAATATTTTTTTAACTACCTATATTTCTACTTTTAAATGGAATATAGCCCATTTTAAAGTGTTCTCAATGATTTTAATAAACAAAAAATGAACAGGGTCAAAACATGGACTCCAATCCCGATCCCATAAAGTGAGGGCTGAGGCCTTTTTTTCACCGGTCTGGTCTCGATCCCGATCTAAAATTAAAAATAAAAAGAAATAAAACTAATTTAAATATATAAATTTTTAAATTAATTTTTTAACGGTCATTTTACGTCTGAAAAGCTAATTGCAAATTTTTAGTTACTAACATTTTATTTCAAACCACTAATGAAAGCGGATAGTTAAAAAGCTAATGTAATCCGTTATTGTCAATCTGCTGATTCAACCGGGTATGAGCTAGCAACAACTACTATTATCAAACACGGTCGTTAACATTTTTAGACCTCCACTTTTGATGACAAAATCAAAGTAAAAGGATAACAAATGTCAATTTCACAATACTTAAAATATGAAATGTCGGGAATTATAAAGTCGAGGACAAAAGTTTATTACTCACAAAAAATTGACCAAAGTAAGTATTTCTCATACAATTTTCCAATAGGTAACAATATAGTCTCCTAAAAGTCCTTCACCAACATCTGTTTTAGGTAAAAAATAACCCTGCTCATTATTTGGTATCTTTCCCTCGTTACAAAATATTTGGGAAAACTGTCAAATAAGTCCTACTACGTCAAAAAAGTCAATTAGGTCCTTCTACTCTACAATCAATCAATTGAATCCTCAAACTTACAAAAAAACACTCAATTAAGCCTATTAGCCCATAACCAACAAGTCTTCCGGTTAACAGCTTACTGAGATGGTTTTTTTAATATTTTTTAATATTTTTAGTTTATCCCTTCGAGATCTTTAATCTTTACCACTTACCAGTTCTTTTCTTTATTTCTTTTTCTTTCTTTCCTATACGCTTCGTGCCGCCTCCTTAGCAACTTCACCAACATTTCCGTACATGTCTAGGCCAGCTAGTTCACCGGCGGTCCGCTCTGTACGGCTGTACCCACCTTCCTCCCCTTCCTCTCCCGCCGTTCACTTCCTCCTTTCACTTTCTTCTTCACCGGCTGACTCTATCCCTCTTTCGCTCTCAGCTGCACTTCGTCGTCGTTGTTCCATGCCTACCCGCCGCTGCTCTTCTGCTTCACCGCTTCAACGCATGGATGTCGTCGCCAAGATGCTTCTCTGGTTCGTCCACTTGTTCAAATTCGAGCTTCTCCTTCCCCGACTGTAACGTGCCCCTTATTCTTCTATCAAAATGGAGGGATGTCAATGAAAAAGTATCCTTCCTCCATTTAGTCTTCCGATCCAACTTAATTGGGGATGTTTAGTGAAGAGGTTTTTTGCAGCCATGGTTTTGTTCAGCGAGGCTCAGATTCCTCAGAACCCTAAGTGGACTCCAATATTTGTAAACCGTCTAGTGCTTTCGTGGATTTAGAGTTCTGATAGAAGAAGAAATGGTTGCTTGTCAAAAAGATTGGGGAAGATGAACAGTACAAGGTGATAGATCTAAGTTTGACTACACTACGTGGTGTTTATTATCTGTTAGAGAAAAAAACCACATGGGCATACACGTCCAAGATTACCGGCAAAACTCGAAGTGAACCGGTTAAGAAGAAGAATTGAATGTTTTTTTATAGTAGGAGGGGTTAATTGGGTGTTTTAATAGTACAAAGACTCAATTGATTTTTTTCGGTATACTACAGGGACCTATTTGACGGTTTTCCCCAAAATATTTTCAAACTTTTAAAAGTAATAGAGATTTATTGTTTTAAGCTTGTACTTTTCGATTGTGTATGCTACTAGTCCTATAATCTTACTCACATGTAGATATAGTTATGTACCTAATAAATTTGTCAATAATAAGGATTATTTCATCATAAAGTACGCGTTCCCACGACAAAAGTATATTCTGGTGGAAAGATTCTTAATACAGATAAATTTATTAATAATCAGATTAAATCTACAAGTGAGTAAATTTATAAAACTAAATTCATACTCTTGCTAAACGTAATTAGGAGTTAATACACTTTCATTAAAGAATAGGGAGGGGGTAAGTGCATATTTTCAATAGTGCAGGGGCCTAAATGATAATACATGAAACCTCAAGGGAGGTTAATGATAATTTCCCTAATAATAATAATAATAATAAGGGAAAATGGAAACTAATAATCCAACCTTTTAGCGGTCTTCTTTTAATAGTCCCACCTTTTCGTTATTCATGAATAATCCAACCTTTGCCCCTCATCTTCATTCACTGGTCCCTGACCGGTTGATGACCTGCTATTCCAAGTTATTTTCTTATCTTTGCAAAATATTATCTTTGTGAAAGGTGGAATTTATGGTATAATAGTTTGCAAAGATAAAAAAATAACTCGGAATAGCAGGTCATCAACCGGTCGGGGAACCAATGAATGAAGATGAGGTGCAAAGGTTGGATTATTCATGAATAATGCAAAGATCGGACTATTAAAAGAAGACCGCTAAAAGGTTGGATTATTAGTTTCCATTTTCCCTAATAATAATAATAATAATAATAATAATAATAATGCCAAACACACCTGGACAGCAGCATCGACCATAGTTCTGGCTTTTACTCTTGAACTCTCAATGATCTCATCGATATGAAACCGTGATTCGTGGATTTGATTATTTGTACAATAACCAAACGTGCTCAATGTATCAGCACCAGCATCACCGGAATTAGCAACTGCCCTTGGCAACTAAGAGATGCATTCCCTTGGTACGTGTTCCTCTGTCTCAAGCAACCCAAAGCAGATGAAACCTGTCAAGGCAACTCAACAGCTTATTGCAGTGCACAGTGGCAAAACATCATCCAATCTTGTTAACGCTGTGTTTATTTTGGGTGATTTGTGGAAGATAGAAATAAAGGAAAAGGGAAGTAGGGGAGAAAGTGAGGTCTTATATTGCTTGGAATGGGAGGAAGAAAATTGAGATGGGAGTGTGGGACCCACTGAAACAAGAACATATTTCTGCACAACAAGAGACTTGTAGGACAAATAGGGCAAATTGTTGCCTTGTTGGACCACTACCAATTGTACATTTTAACCTTTGTCTTTTGTTTTGCCTACACAAAGGGGATATATATCTTTTTAAGGAAAATTGATTTTCTTTCTCTTCGCCTTTCAAACCAGTCAAATTAAATGAACTCTCAACTATTCTTTCTACTCTATTTCTCTCCTACTGCACCCAAAATCCATGCACTATCTTTCCACTCTACTTCATTCATACTTCTCTCTATCCAAACAAAGCATAAAAGTGATAGGCCTGCCGATACGCAAAAGATGGAGGCCTATCTCCTGGATGGGAATTTACTACAATGAGTAATAGTAACATGCCTGGTCATTTACTTCATTTAACTGAACTATTATAGAAGCATATTGCTTTCGGAAAGGGTCAGAGTCATTGAGTGTGCAGTCACCACTCCTTTGGTTTTCCAAAATGTCGTCATTCATGCGCCTCAGCTCAGAAACTACAGCATCCTGAATGGACACACAAAGCTCATTGTGAACTCATTTTTATTTATTAAATTAATACAATCATAATGCAACTCTTCTTTATGCAGGAGATTGACAAAATTTAACAAAAACAAATTAATACAGAACCTTTTTGTCGAGAGCACGAGTCAGCTTGGCAAGAGCTTGAACATCGGCTTCTTTAGCTTGGTTCTGCCCCACTGTACCGGGTTGAGAAATTGCGGTTTGCAGAACAGCGTCACTTGGCCTAATTTTAGCATTCCCATCGTCATCTGCTGTATCTGCCTGGTATCCAAGGTCTAACCGTTTAACCAATCTCATTTTTAATTTGTGACCAGAGAGAGGCTAAAAGGTTATTCCCTTGGGTTCAGTTTGAATTTGAGATTTCTGAATGGTTTTGGTGAGCTACGTATATATCTCGAATATGGATATATAATGTTAATTTTATAACAATTGAGAGATTTGACGTAATATGTGATCGTACAACCTTCGATTAACATTTTCCCGGTTTTAGAAGTGATCCATTTATCCAAATATACACTAAGCCCTCCAAAAACTTTCTCATCAAACCCCTCCATCCAACGCAAGCCCTTAGATGCAGTGATAGTTTGGATGGAGAGTATTAGAGAGGAAGGCTATGGAAGGCTTACTCTGTATCATAATGAAGCAATATTTTGAAAAATGAATGAAGTCTGATTCAAATAACATGTTTATCAAAATATATTAGGTTACAAGGTATTATTTATGTTTTCATAAATTCCCATATGTGTATATCAAAATATAGTCTTAGTCCTACACAAACCCTCCACTCACCATCTCAAGTGGCCCTTAAGACAAACCAGTCAAAAGCAACAAATGTCTCATTAAAACAATAGCAATTAAAGAAGATAAAATGCTACTGACCTCTGATTTCAATAATAAGTTATTTTGCACACAGGTTGATGAAGGCAAACAATGGAAAACATCGCCGTTCTCTAGATTGTCACCTGACACTAATTTCATATTGTCATTTGCTCGCTCATTAAGAATGTTCTCATTGAAGTTCTCAAATAACTTATGCACAGCAGCATGCTTGTCCCTGCTGAGCTGTGTAGGCATGTTGTCATAGGGATTTAAAGGCATGCTTTCAATATCCTACCAAATCAAGAAGAATTTGAATGAGTGTAAAAGTAGAGAAGTGTATAGAATTCCAAGTTGTAGTAGAATCTATGTAGGCCTTTAAGAGGATTAGCCCATTGAATTTGTGATGATTATTCGTTGTATAGTCCTTGCCTATATTAAAAAATGATTTAACGAGTCAAAGGAAATGTTTGAAGTCAAGAAAGTGCAGATACAACGGAAGATTCACTAAATGAAAATAAATACACTGAATGTTGTTACATTAAAATACGTGAATACATTGTTTCCCCTGTTTTAAGAAAAAATTTAAAACTTGCCTAGTGAAGATTGTTCAGGAAATGGTACCTCCGCCATCATTCATGATGAAAGCTACAAAACCCTATTGTATTTGAAATGCTAGATCAATTACCCCTAGGCCCCAACTAGGCTGATGAATATAAGACTAGTCATATACTCATATTTAAGTTTAGCTTGATTATTAAGAAAATATCTAATAAGTGTCACTGCATTGTTTAAAAAAGCATACATAGCAGTATACATACATACATACATATGCAACAGCCATGCATATATATTGTAGAAAATGTTACATTATATGTTACATTATTTATTCTGATTAGTTTGGTGTACACACTTAGCCGATAAGATTAGCTTAGAAGCTGTTAATTAGTGATAAGCTCGTAGTTATCAAGATCCTAAATTTTAGGATTTATCCTAGTAGTTTGTTACTTACTCAACAGTCTCAACTGTATATATACTCTGGCCGACTGGCATAATCAATCAAGGAAGTTTTATTCCTAAAACCTACATGGTATCAGAGCTTTGAATTTACACACCACAATGGTGGAATTCGAACACTCTGACTCATATTTTCAATCACACACCAATAACCCTAATTCCCTTATTAGCTCAATGTCAAACTTTCAGACCACGGTTAATTCATCTATGCTCATCACTGGACATAGATTGAATGGAAGAAATTATCTAGAGTTGTCATAGTCTGTCAAATTAGCAATTGATGGCAAGGGCAAACTGGGATACCTAACTGGTGAGGTCAAGGAGAAGAAAAATGGTGAAGATGGCTACAGTGTCTGGAGGTCAGAAAACTCTCTTGTAACAGCATGGCTTCTCAGTTCAATGGATGCATCAATCGCCAAGCCTCATATGTTTATGAAAACTGCAAAAGAGGTATGGGACTCTATTAAGGAAACATATCCAGACCTTGAAAACTCTTCTCAGATTTTTGAACTCAAAACCAAGTTGTGGCAGTCTAAACAAGGCAATAGAGATGTCATCTCATACTACAATGAGATGGTATCCCTATGGCAAAAATTGGATCAATGCTATGATGATGAAGAGTGGGAAAGTGCCAAGGATCTGGCAAGACATAGGGAAAAAGAGGAGAATGATAGGGTCTATATGTTCCTAGCAAGAATAAATAGGGATCTGGATGAAGTGAAGGGAAGAATACTTGGAAAAAACCCTCTGCCTTCAATCAGAGAAGTCTTTTCTGAAATCAGGATGGAAGATAGTAGGAAGAAAGTCATGTACAATACTCCAGTATAGACTGACTGATGAACCTGGAGACTCTTCAGCAATGGTGGCCAGAAATGAAGAAAAGAAAAAACCCTAGTGTGACCACTGCAAAAAATTATGGCACACTAGGGAAACTTCCTAGAAAATTCATGGGAAGCCACCAGGAGCAGGGAAGAAGAAGTTTGAAAAGGCTCTACATACAACTGTGGCTGAGACTCAACAAGAACCACAAGTCAATTTCAAGCAACCTTCTTTCACAAAGGAACATATAGAGCAACACTCCTTACTCTTCCAAATACTCAGAAAAATTCCAAACTTGAATCTTCCTCTTGTTCTTATGCCCAGAATGGTACCATTTCATCATTTTTTGTTCTGGAAAATCTAAAAGTACCTGGCTCATTGATTCAGGAGCTACTAACCATATGACCCTCCATTTCCAACCTTTTCTCTTCATATAAACCCTGAATAAAGATATTTATTTGTTTCATTGTGATATGTGTGCACTTGCAAAACATCATAAAAACTCTTATATTCCCCATAGTTATAAACATACTAGTCCTTTTACTTTGGTACATAGTGATATTTGGGGTCCATCTAGTGTACCAACTTTAAAGGGAAATAGATGGTTTATAACTATTATTGATGATCATACACGGGTCACATGGGTCTTTTTAATCAAAGAAAAATCTGAAGTTGAAAAAGTGTTTAGGGATTTTTATGCTATGGTCCAAACTCAATTCAATACCAAAATTAAAATGGTAAGAAGTGATAATGGTCGTGAATATTTTTCTCAAAACCTAAACACTTCTATTGTTGAAAAAGGAATAATCCATCAAAGCTCGTGTATCAGTACACCAGCTTAGAATGGAATTGCAGAAAGGAAAAATAAGCATTTACTTGAAGTCACTCGTGCAATCATGTTTTCAACAAACATCCCAAAATATATGTGGGGGAGGCTGTGTTACATGTTACTTATTTAATTAATCGCATGCCATCAAAAATTTTAGGATTTAAAAGTCCTATTAACACACTCCAACATTCCTTTCCCACAAACAGACTGATTAGTACTCTTCCTTTAAAAATTTTTGGTTGCTAAGTGTTTATCAAAAATCCTGATAAATCTGCAAGTAAATTTGATCCTAGAGGAACAAAATGTGTTTTTCTAGGGTTTTCTTGCACTCAAAAGAGGTATAAATGTTTTTATCCTACCACCAGAAAAATGTTTATCACAATGGATACATTTTTTGTGGAAGAACAAACTTTTTTTATTATCATCTTCAGGGGAGAGTTTCACATATTCATGAGAATCTTAATTTTCTTGATATTAATCTTGATGACCATTCCTTTAAGAATTATAGGAACATCTGAAACTGATCAAGAATTAACAAATAGTGAAATAAATACATTTGAACCAATTGGAAAAGATCAACAGACAAGTAAGTTCTTTGGCAAAGTTTATGAGAGAAGAGTTCCAAAGCAAAGGATAGAGGAAATCCAAGCACCTAGCACTGTTCATAATTCTGACTCAATGACAGTGAGTGAAAAAGGTAATATTTCTAGTAACCTTGATCTCCCAATTGCTCTCAGAAAAGAAAGAAGAACATGTGTTAAATACTCTGTCTCAAACCATGTTTCTTATTCTAAATTGTCCTCATCTTTTGCTACCTTTACTTCTAGTGTTTCCTCTATTTCTATTCCCTCAACCATTCAGGAAGCTCTATCTAAACATGAGTGGAAGAAAGCTGTTCTGGAAGAGATGGAGGCTCTTGAAAAGAATCAAACATGGAAGCTTGTAGAGCTGCCCAAAAAACAAACCAACTGTTGGTTGCAGGTGGATTTTTACTCAAGTTTAAGGCAGATGGAAGTCTTGAGAGATATAAGGCAAGATTAGTAGCTAAGGGGATAAGGGATATACACAGACCTATGGCATTGACTACACAGAAACCTTTGCACCAGTTGCAAAGTTAAACACTGTAAGAATACTTTTATCCCTTGCTGGCTTGCTACTAATTTAGACTGACCACTTCAACAACTGGATGTAAAGAAAGCCTTTTTAAATGGGAAACTAGAAGAGGAAGTGTATATGAAACCCCCACCTGGATTTGAAAACAGATTTGGTTCCATGGTATGCAAGTTAGAGAAGGCCTTGTATGGACTTAAACAGTCTCCAAGGGCATGGTTTGATAGGTTCACAAAGTTTGTGAAAAGGCAAGGGTTCAATCCTGATCATACACTATTCATGAAGTTTTCGGGCAAGGGGGAGATTGCAATATTAATTGTTTATGTGGATGATATTATCCTCACAGGAAATTATCATACAGAAATTAAAACCTTAAAGGAGAAGCTTGCTCATGAACTTGAGGTCAAGGACCTAGGAGAACTAAAATGCTTTCTGGGAATGGAGATAGCTAGATCAAAAAAGGGAATTATTGTCTCACAAAGAAAATATATTTTAGATCTTCTGCAGGAAACTGGAATGAGTGCATGCAAACCAGCAGACACTTCAATTGACCCTAGTCAGAAGCTGGGAGATATCAAGGAGGGAATTCCAGTTGATATTCATCAATATCAAAGATTGGTGGGAAGATTAATATATCTGGCAGATACAAGGCCAGATATTGCTTTTGCAGTTAGTATGGTGAGCCAGTTTACGCATCATCCTTTTCAAGAACATCTTGATGCTACTTACAGGATTCTGAGATACCTGAAGAGCTGCCCAGGAAAAGGATTATTTTTCAAAAAGGGAAATAGCAGGATGGTTGAGGCCTTTACTGATGCAGATTATGTTGGCTCTATATCTGATAGGAGATCTACTTCTGGATATTGTACCTATGGGGAAATCTAGTAACTTGGAGAAGAAAGAAACAAAATGTGGTTGCTAGAAGTAGTGCAGAATCAGAATTCATATCTATGGTTAATGGAATATGTAAATTACTCTGGATTCAGAGAGTAATCACAGAACTGACGATGGAGATTGAACTGCCTATGAAGTTATAATGTGATAATAAAGCAACCATTAGCATTGCTCATAATCCTGTGCTACATGATCGAACTAAGCACATTGAAGAGGACAGACATTTCATTGAGGAGAAGAGAAGATTGAAGTTGGAATTGTGTGCACACCATTTGTAGCCACTAAAGATCAAACAGCTGATATCTTCTGTTAGCGATCAATTCTTTGGTCGCACATATGCACGCAGGGGACAACGTGGAGCAGAGATGATTAATCCAAGTGGCTAAGGGAAAGATTAAGCAAGTTAGGAGGGTCATATTAATATTAGGAATATTTTAATTAGTCCTTCTTTAATTCTTATTTCGTTATTAGAAGTTATGTCTGAATTAGCAACTAGTTTCCTAATTGTTTTTAGGAAACCCTTAATTTCTATTTAAGGGGATCCCAGTAATTTTAATAAACAGCTTTTGGTTGATTATGAGTTCCCTTGACTAGGTCGGGGAAAAGTAATTATCGCTTAAGCCTTTAGTCTCGTTTATCTCTTCCCAGTCAATTAAAATAGCTTCAAACAATCCATCGTTTACCTGCGGCTCTTCTCGTTCACGCCCTTGGACGAGATCATTAACTAAAGCTCTTAACAACTTGGTATCAGCTTCCGGGACGATGGGGACAGAATCTACATCGGCAGAATTGTTGAAAACAATGATTGAAAGCGTGGACCAACGACAACTGACTCTGGAACAACAATTGGCGGATTTGCAAACCGCTATGGCGCAACTAGCCACCCTTCCGGCGGCGATGGAGGCTCTATCCGCAGCAGTGCAAAAAGCGAACGGGGAAACTTCTTCCAGTTCACCCCGATTCTTCCGCAGAAGGGATGTCGATTCTTCACGCCATGACCATGATGACTCCTTCGTTCCCAGATATTCGAAGCTTGAGTTTCCACAGTTCGATGGGAAGGGCGATCCTCTGTCATGGCTGAAAAGGTGCGAGAGCTTCTTTATTCAGCAACGCATGCCAGCACAAGCTCGCGTCAGTCTGGCGACCTTCCATATGATAGGTACCGCGCAGTTATGGGCTGATCAATTGGATACAAATACCTCACCAATTTCTTGGACCGATTTCTACAGTCGGTGTATCAAACGCTTTGGCCCACCAAGTAGCTCGAACCCAGAAGGTGACTTGGCAAAACTACGACAGACCGGTGAATTAGAAAATTATATCGAAACATTCCAACAAATGTTGGCTCGAACCGTGGGAATTTCTGTCCGAATGCAAGTAAAAATATTCACCGCAGGGCTACGTGAGGTTGTACGTATGGAAGTTGAATACCAGGATCCTCTTGATCTGGATTCACCAAAGGGTTATTTAAACCTGTGTTCGAACTACTTATAAGCAAGTTGGGAATGTATGATATATATTAACCAACTTGAGGGCGAGTGTAGAAAATGTTACATTATATGTTACATTATTTATTCTGATTAGTTTGGTGTACATACTTAGCTGAATAGATTAGATTAGAAGCTGTTAATTAGTGATAAGCTCGTAGTTATCAAGATCCTGAATTTTAGGATCTATCCTAGTAGTTTGTTACTTAATCAACTATATATATTCCTAAAACCTACATATACTTATGCATACACATATGCAAACCCGACGTACACACATATAGAGTCAACTCTAACATAGAGCACAATTTAAACCAGTATTTAATGTTTCAACCTATTATTAATTGATCTATCACCTTGACAATTTCAACTCCAAGGTCAGGACGGTCAAATTGAACCCGACACCTAGAATGGTCAACTGTAAGAACACTTCCATCATGAATTTCTCTTGTTTTAGGGTGGATGGCAATGACACGTTGTCCAACAGATAATGGCCTTGCAAGATCAGTAGGTAATCCTTCCCTAGTACCCTCACGTAGATCAGTGTAATGTGTTCTAACAAACTCACGGTAATCATAGAGCTTCTCCTTTTCCTCCTTCAAAAATTGTTTAGAAAATCGACGCGGTTTACCGAGAGAACTGCAACATGATTTAAATAAAGCTTAAAATAACATTCCACTATACATAACTGGTTGTAATTTCACTTTTCTGCAGTGATTTGAAAATACCTTCTTATCACATCCCACTCAACACGAGTTAGCCTGGGAACATGTCCCAACCCAACATGGTCCAAGTATTCAACAAACTCCCTTTTAGCAAACCAGGGATTATCAATTGGGCTGTAGAACCACTCACATGTACACCATCGCATTAAAAGTGGGTTGCTTAGGCAATTAGAAAGTTTTTTCTGCAAAACCATTTAGAACATAAAGTACCAAATGTTAAATAAACAGCACATAAACCAAACTATATTTAGAACATAAAGTACCAATTTAGATGGAACAGCTAGAAAAAAGATAAAGTGATGCATCATACCTGAACATTGTCCACTTTGGCATTGACTGAAACAAAGGGCGGGCCGCAGTTATTATCCAACATGCTATCAGGAAAAGTCGAATCGCTTACTTTTTGTGGTTTCTCAATCACCATCTTACGCCTACTCGTAACTTTATCAGGCAATGTGGCTTGGTTTGCTACAAGGACTTCTGAAGCCATTTGAGCTGGATCGCTTCTCTCTATTCTTAGATCTGCACTTGAGGGATGATCTTGATTCTTCATTACTTTAGGTGAAGAGCTCTGCTGCAAAGATCTTTTACCCTTGCTGATTGGCTTCTTCAGTGCATCCTTTTTCTGTAAAAAGAGAATTATGTCAAATTGGTGTTCCAACAGGAGAAAAAGGCAACCCAATAGGGATAGGAATGGGAATCTGTTGCATCAAGCTATAATACAACAGACAAACATTCAATTATAATATATAAGCAACATTTTGTACAGTCTTGTTCATCTACCAATTTTAGCCAAACATGAATTCAATGAGATCTGGCTTGATCAAATATAGCTCAATTCACTTGTTGAAGTTTCCAAGTGAAGCCAAACTTCACGTTTTAGATTTCTGAATTTCTATTATCATCAGGCCCAAAAATAAGTAAATAACGTCCACTTTCATTGTATTATTGTAATAACGTCCAGTTTTGTATTTCACAATACCCAGCGAAATAAATAACTTACTACATATCTCAGAGATGTTTCAATATGGAAAACAAATCCAAACTGGTCCACAATGCTAACACAGTTACACACTTACACATGCTACACATCTTTTCAAAAACTCTACGATCAGCCTTAAAAATATTACAAAATATAGTAATAGTCTGAGGTAAAAAAAAAAACAAAGCAGAATTACATCAGACACTGGAGGATCAGAGAGATCATTACTGGGATGAACTTCACCTTTCTGTGCCTGAAGGACATGCTTAAAAAAATTACATACTCTACAACAGAAAGTAATGATACAGCTGAGAGTATTAGCTATGAAGCTTACCTTAGATGTTGATATTTTTTTATTTTTTCTCATCTGCTTTTTTTCAGAAAAAGTGCTATCATCAACTGAACCTTTTACATGCTTTGACATTGCACTAGATGCAACCTCAAGTTCTGAAGTAGGCTGAGTCCATTTAGTTTTAACTCCAGATGTTCTGTATTTCTTCTTTTGCCGGTTCGTAGGCAGAGCTTCCATGGTTTCAGATTCTTCAATGTGGCCACTTTCATCTTTGATGTGCATCATTAGCTCTGGAAAAAGAGAAAAGTAAAAAGAGGTAAGAACACTGTCGCAAATGCACCATACAAGTTAAATGACAGTGATACAATTTCAAATAAAAACCAAAGAACCTCAAAAGTAAATCATAATATTCAGAAATGAGTTTTCAGATTATCAGAGGACTATAAATAAAAGCCACAATTTATAATCACCCCATTATACGTGAAACATGAGGCTTAAAAAAATTAGGAACAATTCATCTTTCACACTCAACGTTTTCAAAAACAAGCTTTTGGATGTGCATCATCTGTCATCCTTTTAATGACACAAATACAGAGTTGCACACTGCAATATATGATTAAAGGTGGTTTACTCTAGAAGTAGAAAGCACACTATGACACTAGGCTCCCATATCATGCAGCACTCTGGAGAAGATATACCCTTCTTTTCACACAAAGGTTGCTTAGAGGGCTTGAGCCTATAACTTAATACTACGTCCATCCCATTTTATAAGTCTTGCGGTCAGCTCAGCTCTGTTTTAATCTCTAATTTCTATCATATTCATATTCGGTTTATGCAGCTCAATAAAACTTTTACTGCAGTTTCTAAATATATAAACTATTACGAATACTAAATTATATATTATTAGGGGAGAGATAACTTTAAATTCAGCAAACTCCATAATCCAAAATAGGACCCTCACAAGGGAAATTACAGTATAGTAATTAAATCAAAACAAAGATTGCAAATTTACCAAACATAATCGGTACTTAAGAAGAAAATGAAACATACAAATGAATAAAATACTTTTTATCACTCACTGGGAAATGTGTTCCACAAGACTGACCCGGAAAATAAGTGTGGTATCATTTTTAAGAATCAAGGAAGGTATCAATATCCTTGAAGTCTGAAGATAAGATTAAAGCTTGCACTAACAGAGAGCAAGGCAAGGACTAACAAAGCGTAAATGTGCAGAACATGGAACCTAAAAGGGTAGTGATGTGTTATGTGTATCCTTTATTCCTTACCATTTTCATTTTCTATTGTTGGCATCATTAATGATAGATCAGCCAAAGTTTGAAGAGCCTCAAAGGTAGCACTGTCATCTATATAGAGAAATAAAAGTTAACTTTGGCACGAAGTTTGTACATAACAATTGTCATGTACGATATTATATGATTAAACAAAAACATCTTTTGAACGAAGACATTTAAATCAAAATGCCAAACCTCTCTGAAAAAGAACCTTTTTGCTCCTCTTTCTGAGACCGAGGGATGAAGCGTTTAAAACTTTTTCATCAGCAACCTCCATGTCATGCTCTGTACTTACTACATCTAACCTATAACCTTCTTCTGTACCACTACATGCTTCCTTGTTGTCAACAAATTTAGCATCACTAGTGACGTCAGTTTCTGACTTTTTCCCAGAGACCCTGCTCCCCTTCTGGATTGTTCGGCCAGTTTCCCTCAACCTGTGTAGTTCTCCGGTGTCGGCTTCCATGCTTCCTTCATTCTCATCCATTTCACTGCTAGGAAACTTGAGATTGCCCATTTTCAGGCTACTCTTCTGTTTAGATATATAAAAAAAAGTAAATACTCAGAATATACAATTGAGGAAAGCTTCGGAACTTCTGGTGGAAGTTGAATTACTACCTTCTTTTCAGCTTTTTGGGTGGGAGTGGATAACGCACTGTCAGTTTGATGGCTAGGTGTATGTAAAATCTGGGGAGAACTGCCTCGTTTTGAAGCTTCAGCTAAAGCTATAGCAATTTCATGAGCAACTTCATCATCATTGGCATCTAACGATCTGTTCAGGCCTTTAGCATTTTCATAAGAATATGGTACAGGAAACCGTGGTGTCCTTTTCCCAACAACACGAGGCCGTGTCCCTGAAAGAAAATTTCAGAAAAACACCATCAACTATAACATAATAAGAAAATGAATGCCATTTAGTGGCCTTAAAATGATAACTAAATTCCTTCAGAGGTTCTCAAGAGAAAGGAAACACACACCTCCAGAGCGTTTCTTCTTCAATAATGACAAACAACCATTATTTGATGCTAGAGTAGGGGATTGCAAATCGGGTCCTTTAAATGTGCCAGCCTGAACTTTACCTCGAGCACGCTTTTGAGTCTTATGAGATGTTCCTGCACCCTCATTGCTTTCTTGTTCACTATCACTCTCCACCTGTCAGCCACATTCGAATAACTCAATTGCCACAAGTGCAAATTAATGATACCTCTTGAAAATCAATATGCTTTAACAAGAAAACCAGCATAAAAAAGGACTGTCAACCTTCTCATTCACAAAGAGGCGAATTACATGTAGGAATTACAGTCAGCAAAGATGGTTCACACCATTTCGGAAAGATTGTTTGCATCGAGCCTTATGGACAACACCGCTTCAGAAGATTGTTTCATAAAAAATATGCAAAGACCCTATCAGCTATATGCTGAATTTCATTTACTCCATACAAGAACGCTATAGCATTTCAGAATTCAGACTATTCTAAAGGTTATTAATCATTATTTATTCATAAATGAAGAGCAACTTTGTAGATACAATGGAAGGGACATGCTGAATGTGCAGAAAAAGAGGCCTCATCAAATTCAATGATATAAAGTGCCACGATACTAGGCGATTTAGTATGTCCTTGAACCACATGTATCTCACCATGTTACAGTAGTGATCAGTCATCATTGCAATCAATCCAATAACAGAAGCAGTCCCCTCTGGAAGAGATAAGTAAGCCTGAAAGTAAATGGGTAAAATATATACAGCTAGCAAATATAGAGGACCACATGAACAAATAAACATTCGTCCATGTATATTAAAATTTGTTTATAACACAAATTTTTAAAATCAAATTTACCATATTCATAGAGTAAAGTGCCTCCACCATATCAACTGACCGATTTCTCACAACAGCAGCCACCTGCAAGGCATATAAAATGACACTCAATTGAACCGGTCACTTATGGAAGTATAGAATTTGTGTTGTGCGCGCGCGCGCGCGCGCGTGTGTGTGTGTGTGTGTGTGTGTGAGAGAGAGAGAGAGAGAGAGATGAGCAATAACTATGATCATGTGTAGTTCAACTATTAAAATAAACTTTCATGATGGCAGAAACCTAAGTATAACTACACAGTAATTCTTCTAATTAAGATATTATAAGATATAAAAGAGAAAAAATATTCAAGAACTGAGCTTCAGAACAAGAATTTGATGCCCAACCTTTTTCCAATCTTTACCATGTTTCCTGTACGCATCATAAAAACGACTAAGCTCCTCCTTACTCCACTGGGGGCCTAGCATGGACAACTTCCTTTTCTGCAATTAAATCGGAAATGCATGCACGAAGAAGTTTTGAGGTTAATCAACTGAGATTTATATAACAGTACACGTTAATGCATGTGTGTGGAAACAGAAATCAAACGTAAGTAGATGGGGAGCAATGATTTTACAGGCATATTCATGTAAACTTCTGCTGAGATTGGAACTGTAGGGTGTTAATATTAAAAAAGGCCATCTGCATATGGAAAAAAAAAGTAGACACAAAACTCACCTGTGGATTGCTTCTTTTAGAGCCATCTCCTCCTTTGCTAGGGGAGACTTCAGTTACATAAGAATATCGCTTATTTACACTCCTAGACTTTTTTGCAGGAGACATAATCAAAATCCTGGAAACATAAAATACATGAAACAAAAAATTAAAGGGAAGTTAATTACTCCAAAAAAAATTAAACTAACAAATACAAACACACAAAACAGTAATAGTATTTAAAAAGATGGCCAATCTGGCTATACATAACTTGATCAGGTGATCACATTATACATTACTATATGAGAACCTATTTTCCAATAGTGGAACCACAACCTTCACATGAGCAGAACAGAATGAGTGCAAGACTTCAGTTTAATATTATCGGTCGGTCAAATAACCGACCGATAACCGAATGACCGACCAACTTTTTTTGCTCCAATAACCGACCAAAACCGACTGATAATTTTACTCTAACCGACCGAAAACCGATAATTTGGTTTTGGTCAATAACCGACCATAACCGAACATATAGATTTTTGAAGGTTATTTTTTTCTAGAATCATTTTTCATTTACCCCAGTGCCGCAAAGGCTCCCACCTACGGTGAGGTAAGGGGGGTCAGATGTACGCAGTCTTACCCCTGTACTAAAGCACATAGAGACTGTTTCCGGATGACTCATAGTGAAAATCGCGTCCAAAATTGCATGGACTGATTGTTGCTTCCTAATAAAGAAGCGCAGACAGTTTAGTGAGCCATTTTGCTTTATTCCATCATATTCTCAAGCCAAAAAATAATGAATCTTTGGCTCCATTGCAAATGATGGAAAATTTTTCTAGAATCTGAAACTTTTTTATAAACGCTAGTAAAAAAACGAAGGATTCCAAACTGGATGCTTTATTCGTAACAGAACAGACGCTTTATTGAAGTATATATTGGAAATATTATAAAACAAATGTCCCAAGTGAAAAACTTTTACTAATAATTTGGCAAAAAGCCACAATATGTCACAAAATTAAAAAAAAAAATCCAAAGTTGTAAATCTACACCATTCTACCATTGTCCATTGCATCAAAGCATACGTCTCTTGTCAATATTACAAGTGAGATCAAAAGTAAATGCAAATACTTGCTATTATTAAGTAGTTTCTGCGATACTTTGATATAACAAAGTTCCTGCAATAAGAAACGATGGGAAAAAAGTTCCTGCAATAAGAAACGATGGGAAAAAAGTTCCTGCAATAAGAAACGATGGAAAGCTAATCAAATACTCAGCATTCATCACTTCAAATATAACAATATATTCACTTCTACATGACACAAGCTCACAAACATATAAAATTGGTTGTTTATGTGAATCTGTAATAAGTCATCACTAAACTAATAAATCTACATCATGCAAAGTAAATTAAGCAGGCAAGCAGCTGTTGATTTCGGTAAAGATTTCTTAGTGGAGCAGCTTAAAAGAAGTCTAATATCATTCATTTCTTCTTGAGAAGAATAAAAACAATGCTCGTAATATCATATTTTAGAATTTTAGATCTTCTAGCTAGTTATAACCATTAACTCCTTCCCATTATACGTATTTTCATATAAGAAGTTAACTCCAAGTCTTCAACAAAGCCCTTACATATTATTTTCACCAAATTAATAATCCATTAAATAACTAATTAGAAAATTAACTCATAGGTCATTAGGTCCCCAACGGCCAACCCAAACATCTCTACACATCAAATATAAATATTAAAATAGTGGATTTTAGAGGGATCGCTGAACTGGAAAAAAAAATATGAAGCATTTGTTGAAGAAAGAGGGCTTTAATTGAGATAAGTTAGAGATTTACCTCCGTTAGAAAATTAGATTGGGCAGAGATAATACGTGACTCAGAAACTTTACTTCGCTGGGGAGTCTGCGATTGGGTGAATTGAAGAAATGAGCTCAAATTAGTGACCACATAAGAAACCTCAAGTTAGGGATTGAAGAAGAGAACTCAGATTACCTTGGGTGCCGAGGACTGCCTGTGTGTGCCGAGGATTACCTTCGGCTGTATGTGCCGAGGAGGCGAGGACTACCTTCGGCTGTATGTGCCTAGGACTACCTTCGTATTAGTGTGCAGAGGATTACCTTCGGCTGTATGTGCCGAGGATAACCTTCTGTATACGTTATTTTGCAATCAATTAAAAGTATCTAAAGCCAATCAAAAAAAATGTATACAGATTATCGTTCAAAAAAAGTCCAATCAATTTAATACGCTTAAAGAATATCTACACTGAAACATTGCTCATATATAAAGCCTACACACCAGCTTGACTAACATGCTATATAAAAAAGATCATTTAAAAATGCACTCAATCTAGGCACATCGACATATTGTGCTCTGAGGCCTGGAAAACTTTAATAAATCAAAACCCGAAAATGATTAGAAAAACTACAAAATACTTCTGGAGCTGATATCAAAAGCTCGATCTGAGACTGATCGATGAAAACAAAAAGGCAGCAAAGGCAATAATAGGCGTTTTTTGCAAATGATTTCGTGTTTTCAGTATAAATACTCTCTGTTACGCAATAAAATTCAAAAGAAAAGTATAAGAGATGTTGAATACTAACCAAAAAGAGAGAGTGAGCTATTGTTTTTTAACCGAATCGAAAATCCACCAGGTGTGAATTTCTTCTCAATCGGATTCAGAGCAGGGAATCAGAGTTTCAGAGGTGATTGGAGACAACCAAACTGCGATGGCTGCAAATTGTGTGTGAGGGGGAAGCGGAGAAGATGAATTGGTGATGGTAACCGCGAAATTCAATTTATTTGTACTTTTTCTTGCTTGTGAGGAGTGTTTGGTAGGACGTAAAATAATGCGAATAGTAAGGACTTAAAATGTTTATTTGTTTAGATTATTTAATGTAATAGGACACTTTTTTAAAACATTTCGCGCTTTATCATATAAAGTATTTTTGGGAGTGGTAAAATACTTTGCATACCTTTTATGAAGCACTTCAACGGCTTTCTGTGCAATTTAAAAATAAATTACACATATAACCAAACAATATTCCATCATTTGCAATGGAGTCAAAGATTCATTGTTTTTTGGCTTGAGAATATGATGGAATAAAGCAAAATGGCTCATCAAACTGTTTGCTCTTCTTTGTTATGAAGCAGCAGTCAGTGCATGCAATTTTGTGAGCAATTTTCATTACAGGTCATTCGGAAACAACCTCTTTGTGCTTTAGTACAGGGGTAAAACTGCGTACATCTGACCCCCCTACCCACCGTAGGTGGGAGCCTTTGCGGCACTGGGGTAAATGATGATTGGTTGATTGATGTAGCCAAACAATGTAATCTCTTTTACATGCAAAGTGATTGTGTCCCTATACTTTGCATGTAATCACTTCGTGTGCAAATATTTAACGTGTAAACTACCAAACGAGCCCTTAAAAAAATGGGTTGAATTATTTGAATGGTTAGCTGAAATTTGGTAGGAGTAAACTAGATTTAATGAATAAGATGCTTAAAAAAACTCATCAAAAAATTCCACCGGGAACTGTCCCAAATGGCGATGACCGGACATAATCTCCTATTTAAGGGCTTATTTGACCTTTTTTGTTAGTACGTAGGCTTATTTGCCCCTTTTCCCTTGAATTTATATTCTTTTATCGTAAGGTGAATTCCTTTTGGCAGCCAGTTATTCTATGCGGCTACGATTTGTTTACTGGAAGATTTCAGGCCGCTGGCATTCGAATTGTGAAACGGATCAACGGTGGCGATTGGTTGTTAGAATTAGGACATCGTTCATCGACTATGTTAAAACATTGGGTCGATCCAGCAGATTTGCTCCACACTGCAACAGAACCAACTTATAGGACGCCCAAAAACCTATTATTTGACTAAGGACAATTCTATTAGAAATCACCAAATTGGTAAATAGCATCACCAATTTAGTTATTTTGCAATGAAAAGACTTCAAATGGGACGGAAGTAGTAGTTTTTATATAAATATTATATTTGTACCGATGTTATAGTTATGGTGATATTATTATATCATTAATTAAAGTCTATGGGTAGTCTATCACGTAATCATAAAAAACGAAATTCTTGTTTCTTTTACTTCCAGAAAGTCTCTTGTAAGTTTAACATTGATAGAGTATATAGCCCGGGAACCCCCGGCCCACATATTCCTCCTACCACGAAACAGGCGCAATAGGCCTAGGTGGCCCAAATAAAGCGGCCCAAGCTCCGGACAGCCCATACTACACATGGTGGTGCCTTCGATACCATGGTCGGAGGCTCCAAACTCCGGAGAATGATTGTACTTGGTCCAAAAGCCCGGCTGGGAAGCAGGGCCAAAATCGTCAGCCTTCGGCACAGGCAGTCCTCGGCACATACAACCCAAGACACTACCTCGACAAGACCTCTGTCCATGCTCTGAATCACCGCATTAAATGTGGTGTCACGTCCAACCACCGCATTAAATGAGGTGCCACATGCTATGCCAATGCCACCCTGGTTGAAGTGACCCTCCACCGTTGATTAGTAGACACGTGTACCCGCGTTAGTCCTGTATAGCATTTATGGCTGCTACAAATAGCGCCACTTTTTCCATTGTAAAGCACAACGAGTTCATTTAATATACTCTCTCTCTTACTTGTTCTGACTTCTCTTTAGATACCCCCAGTGGTATCCCCGGATATACTATTTGTCATTTGATACTCTCATTGAGAGGTCGAACAATCAAGTAAGACCCCCCCCCCCCCCCCCCCCCCGGAAAACAAAAAACACTCATCAGAATGGGAAGGACTCGCGGTCAATCAAAAACCCTTGAGCAAAACCAGCTAGGCCTTGGGGGAACCAAATCAGAATGGTTGGCCTTCTCTGCTTTAATTTAATCCACACACTAGCCCAGAATCTTGGCGCCTTCGGAGCACTGGAGCAGCCCCAGCCACGTATTGGTGAAAACATCACTCATCCGCCACCGCCGCCCCCATTCAACAATCCCCTCCTACAAGTCGGGAATGCTGAAGGGGTCGTTGCACAGGACACCGCGTCCCAGGAGGCAAAGGCGTAGCTAGGATTGAAGGTTGGGTTGGGCCGGTACATAGAATTTTTTCAGATAATGTTTTTCACATGAATTTTTAGACTAACAAATACAAAGAATTTTCACATTTGGGGCGGGCCGTGGCCCGGTTGGCCACCCCTCTAGCTCTGCCCCTGCCAGGAGGCCCAATCCCGGGACAAGCGGGATGAAAACAATGAAAGGCCCCAGACCTCCGCTCTCAATAGGCTCGGAGGAGGACAGGATTGTCGGGCGGTCCAAGACCGCCTCGACGGAAGAGCGCTTAGCAGGCCGCAAGAGAGCGGATGCTCCGTTTCGAGGGCTGACCAAAGACAACCCCCTCGGAATAAAGGCAAAGGATCACAGGTACAAGATCATTGAGGCCCTCTAGAGCCGGCTCGATGAGATAGAAGCACGGCAAATGCAAACAACCGCTTCCGCCTCACAGTCGGATCCCAAACACGCCGCCATGATGGCAAAGATGGATGAAATGCAAAAGAAGTTCGGTGAGGGCTCCGGGAGCCTGTTATTCAACTCCGCACGAAGATGCCTTTTACCCCAAAGGTGTCTCAGATTCCCGAAAAATACCGAGGGCAGACCATAAAGTCGTACGAGGGAAAGACTGATCCCCAGGAGCACTACAACAGGTATCAAAATAGCATGATGATGATGATGGGGGCTTCGGATGAGTATTTGTGTCGTTGGTTCCTATCTACCTTGGAAGGATCAACGTATGAGTGGTTAAACCGATCGCCCAAAGGCAGCATTGACTCGTGGCAGGAACTCGCGCAGCGTTTCCTGACACAGTTCGCAGGAAGGCATCGATCAAAAAAACACTTTTCACATTTGTTGACTGTTAGACAACAAAAGGTGGAGACCCTCCGGGATTTTTTGGAGCGTTGGAGGCAGGAGACGGACAAGGTCGACAGAGTCGATGACCAGACGCCGATGGCTCTCCTACAAACAGTCCTCCCCTCCGGAAATTTCTCAAGGAGTCTTATCATCGAACCACCCCTAGACTACATCAGGGCCCTCCAACGGGGGACAGGTACGCAGAAGTCGAAGAAGTAGATAAATATCGCTGGAACCCGGAGCCTTCTCAAAAGCCAGATGGTAGGAATCGCTTGGGGGTCCGTGATGTGAGTTTTCTCGCACTTAAAAAGATTGTAATATAGTGGTGTAAGTATGAGTATCGTCTCCACAGGGACGGACAAAAGGGAATCAAGAATTAATTAATTTCAGCGATTAAAAATAAATAAAATAAATGCGTCGTGCGAGATATGATTGGTTGCTCGAAAATTAAACTAATGGAATGAGCGATAAAAACAATAGATTGGTTTCTCTCTAATTAACGACGAAGGGAACAATGATTGATTCCGGGGTGACCAGATTTCTGGCAGATCATGTGACACCGCACCCGAACGTCCTCGAAAATTCAATTTAAAATTCAAGTTATGTATTGAATTTCCGGTTTACCAAACAATTGTAAAACAATTTATGTTTTACGTAGTGCATGATGGAATATTGTATTGTTCAGACTCGCATATTAGTGTCGGGTTTTGAAAATACTTATTTGGGCCTTATTAATGAACATAAGAGCCCAACATTACCTAAATAATGTTACTTAACCTTTCAAGACAAATTGAGGAAAGTCGGGCGGCCCAAACCTTATTTTGGGCCCAACCTGCTAAAATTAGCAAGTATTCGAGAATGGCGTCCTAGACCCACTCGGGGGTGACCCACACGGATAGTAACCCAATAATATGTATGAAAAATGTCAAAATAAGTGATAGAATGATTAGAGAAGAATACAAATGTCTATAGCCCCATCTTTCACATTAGTGAGCTAAATAATGGGAGTAGGATTTTTCTTCTAGGATACCCATCAAGTAAATTATTGAGATGAACCTACACATATTGGAGATCAATAATGTGATGAAGGAAGTTGACTTGTTCTAAATAAATTAGGATGAGTACAAAAAAGCATCTTTGACAAAAGATAAAACAATAGGACTCATCTTCCCATTTTTTTGGAATTATTGGTAGATATTTTGGACCTCAATTTGATTGAGATCAATTGGGAAGCATTCCATGTGGCTTGAGTACCTGCAAGACAAGGAAAATATGTGAGAAGACTCACCTTGGCCGCACCACATGGAGAAGCACTGCCCATGACACAATTGGAATCAAATTTTGGGGCCACCACCACTGTTTTCGCACAAACAGGTGTGTTGTTTTGTCTCCCTTCATTTTGAGAGTTGTACTCGCCCAAATAGCTTGATTAAGATGTCCTTGGATAGCCTTTGAAGTCTATTTTCATAGTTGAGTGGTCTCTGTTCGAGAGGAGAGAGTAATCATACAAAAATCGAACTGGAGTGAGCAGTGGTCTGTAAACTCGAGCTCTGAGAGTGCTGAAGCTGTTTGGTGGATATCTCGAGTTATACCAATCCAATTAAGGCGTGTGAGATACCAAAAGAAATCTCTCAAGACGAGGAATCCGTGAAGGTCTGGTTTGCATCAATCGGAGTAGTGTAAGGCTTCCAAATCGTCCGAGAAAAACACAACCTCGCAGAAACGGATCTACTCTTCTAAAGTGAGTTGTTAACCCCAAAACCTTTCCTTTCATTTTCCAAATGATATGAACGATTGGTGGAACTATTATACACTAATCCAAGTGTATAATAGGTCCTTAAAAAGTTATTATTATTTATGTAAAGGTTAGATACTAACCTAGAGCAAATCTTGGAAAACTAGGAAACGAGTTAGCCGGAAAACA